CAGCTTTCGCCCACAAATATACAGTCAATTCACTTTACAGTCTATTCTGTGAAGCGCTTTAAGATGTCTAGAGGATGTGAAAATCGTTATATCAAATGCAAGGATTATTATTATTATTATTAGCTTGTTTTTGCAAGAGAGAAATGCAGGGAACTACACAACATCATTAAATCATTAATAAAACTGCATATTATACTAAAATGCTATATATTACACAGATCAGATAGTTTGTGTGAACAGAGGGACAGGAATTTAATTCCTAAAAAAAAATTGTCCATTTTTTCTTAAGAGCATTACAAGGCTTTGTGTGGCTGGGTTTCTGACTATGTCTCTGCTGATCTCTTTGTTATTAACAGGCTTCTGATCAGTCATCCACATCAGAGGCAGAAGGGGATTATGGAAAAAGATGCCAGGAACCGTTTATCCTGTCCTGGGACCCGATAATGATTCCCTGCTTGTTACACTGATATAAACCAGACAGACAGACTAACACTTCAGGAAGATCCGATTGTGCTGTGTATAAATTGGGCACCACATTAACATTCAAATAAACAGTCACTGTCACTTGACAACAATTACATTACCTGTAAAGTGCTTTGTGACAGTTTGATGTTATAGGCGCTGCATGAGAACAGGATTATATTAACACTGCTTTGGCCGGTTGCTCACTTGATGTGGTCAGTGAAGACCATGGGACTGGGTTAGAGGGAGATAGGTTTGCTTGAAGGCTTTCAAGCCCAATTTGGGGTAAAGTGTCACAATGCCGTGGAATGCCCTCCTCCTCTCCCGTTAAGACCAGTTTATTTGTTAGTTGTGTACAAACAGAGACAATTGCACGGTTTTGTGCGTTGTGGAGGATATGTTTGTGTATTTAAACTAGGAATCAGTGCACTGCAAAGAATGTGTACTGATCATGGGAGAGCTTTTTTCCAACAGCTGAAATCAATGAGATGCATATTATTTATGGATATAAGGCTGAGAGGCAAACATCCTCTGTATCATCTGTTTATAAATAATACACCAATACTATCAGGCAGCTTCCCATTGCATCTCATTTGATTTCTCTGCAGAGAGCGAAGCAGAGCACAAACGTTTGTTTCCACAGATGAGAGAGACATTCTGTGTGGATGTCTGGGGCTGTGTTTATTGCTGCTGCACACAGCAGGCGGCAGCTACTGAACACGGTGAGGTTCCATTGCCACTGTCCCTGTAAAGTCATGCTGATGTCAGAACCATGAAGTGTTTACTGGGCTCCTGTGGATGTTTAAGGCAAAGTGATTCTTCTACCTGTTTTTTGAGAAAATGGTTCCAAGTCAAATCAAACAATGGGATTTAACATGCATAGATGTTTACAGGGCTATGGGGAGAGAGCGGGGGAGTGGGGTTGATCAGGGCTATGGGGAGAGAGCGGGGGAGTGGGGTTGATCAGGGCTATGGGGGGAGAGCGGGGGAGTGGGGTTGATCAGGGCTATGGGGAGAGAGCGGGGGAGTGGGGTTGATCAGGGCTATGGGGGGAGAGCGGGGGAGTGGGGTTGATCAGGGCTATGGGGAGAGAGCGGGGGAGTGGGGTTGATCAGGGCTATGGGGAGAGAGCGGGGGAGTGGGGTTGATCAGGGCTATGGGGAGAGAGCGGGTGAGTGGGATTGACTTGGAGGCTCTTTTCAAACAGTCAGCACAGATACGATGGCTGAATGGCCTCCTTCTGTGCTGTATAGTTCTATGATTCTGTGAGATCAGCTTTGGCATATTGTAGCAGTCTTTGAATGGGAATCTATTTATTTTGGTTCTACATCCTAATAACCCTTTGCCTAAGAACAAGTTTTCTGACCTCTCCCTTTCCACTTCTGGTAATAATCAGAAGCTCTAAAATTCCACCTCATCTTAGCCTGCGAGACCACTTTGTCTTAAAGTTTAAGACTGCACGAGGTTTTGGGAAATTCTTGAATTCAGTATTAGCTTACAACCTGGTTTTCGGCTGTTCTTAAAAAAGGACCAGCTTCCAAATTAAGCTGAATGTAAGAATTTTCCACGGATGCTGAACATTAAATTTTTAGCTAAAATGGTCTTACAGGCTAAGCCTAGATGGGATTTCATTGCCTTTTTCTATGAACTATGACAGATTTTGTTTGAAAGAAAAAATGTCTTAATTTAGACAGGTATTTGCTTAGAGAGCCTGTGGTGCTGGTTAGCATTCTGAGGCGGCTCAGTTAAATTGTAGCCCAAATTAAGGAAGACAGCATTAAGGAAGTTGCAGGTCAGTTTGTAAGAGCAGTAAAAGTTGCACGACAGCATTATACAGTCTCCAAATGTCCATTGTCCAAAACATGAGAACTGGAAAAATCATCTCTCCAAGGCTGTGCAGGACATGAGACATTGCTTGATGCTGCAATGGGAAGATGGTCGGGTGGGAATTCCAGAAGGTATGAGATCAAATGGGCCAAAGGGTGTTCTTCATCCAAACCTCTCTTGTGATTTTCCGAAAGGCTGATTCTTTCCACATTCCAGCCCAAATCCATTTCAGTCTCTGCCAAGTATTTGCTGGAAAGCAACAGACACATTGTATATTTTTTGTTTTAGTCAGTCAGGTGCAAGCGATTTGGCCACAATCCTGTGGGATGGAGTTCCAAAGAGTGGGAGCAGAGAGGTTGAAAGCCCGGCCACCGATGGCAGGCCAGGTCAGGCGTGAGACCTGGAGCAGGTCGGAGCCTGCTGAGTGGAAGGAGCGGGCAGGTTGTTAGGGAGTTAGCAGGTCAGAGATGTAGGAAGGGGCAATGCCGTGGAGGGTCTTGAAAGTGAGGACGAGGATTTTGAAATCTATTCTCTGAGGGATGGAGAGCCAGTGGAGCCAGGCGAGGGTGGGGTTGATGGGGTCAGGAGAGAACATGAGCAGCAGAGTTCTGGATGATCTGCAGCTTGTGGAGGGAAGAGCTGGGGAGGCTGACAAGGAGCGAGTTTCCATATTCCTTGAGGTGACAAATGCCTGTATGAGGGTTTCGGTGGCCTCTGGGGTGAGGCAGTGGCAGTGTCGGGCAACGTTGCGGAGGTGGTGAAAGGCAGAGCGGGTCATGGAACGAATATGGGAGAGAAAGGACAGTTGAAGGTCGAACAAGATGCCCAGGTTCCTAACTGGCTTGGTGAGGTGGAGTGTGCAACCGTGGATGCTGATGCTGCCAGTGCCTGAGGTGCTGAGACGCTGGCGCGAGCCTATCGGGGGACCTCAATCTCGCTGACATTCAGCTATAGAAAGTTGGCTCTCTCCACGACTTGGATGTCAGACAGACAGTCTGTCAGGATGTCAGTTGTCCTGGAGTCAAGGGTGGAAGCAGAGAGATAGAGTTGGGTGTCATCCGGATACATGTGGAAGTTGACTCCATGTCAGCGCCAAGGGGGTACATGTAGAGGTTGAAGCGGAGGGGACCAAGGACAGAGCCCTGAGGAACACCACACAAGATTGTGTGGGGGCTGGAAGAGAAACCGTTGGCGGAGACAAATTAGAGACGGTGTGAGAGATAAGACCTGAACCATTCAAGGACAGAACCTTGAAGTTTGCAGTGAAATAAGAGGCGGTGGAGGAGGATGCAGTGGTCCAGTGGAGGCAGTTCTGGAGGTGAGGGGGGCAAGGGCATCAACAGTGGTGGAGAGGGAGTTGTGGAGGAGAGCGAGTGAGGGGATAAATCAGTGCGGGAGGTAGGCCAGAGGGGGAGGAGTTCAGATGACACCAGGGCAGCAGAGAGGGGGTTGCGGGAAAAAAAAATTCCAGGGGCGACAGGAGATGGGTTTAGTGGCGGTGGGGAGAGGGATTGAAGAGTTAAAGGAGATGAAATGATGATCGGAGATGGCTTTGTCTGTGACTGTGATGTCCGAGACACTGAGGCCTAGGTAATCACCAGATCGAGTGGGTGGCCATGAAAGTGGGTGGCAGAGAGGATGTGGAGGGAGAGGTTGGGAGAGGAGAAGAGAAGTCCAAGGAGATAGAGCAAGAGGGGATGAAGTGGAGGTTGAAGTTGCCGAGGATGAGGAAGTGTTCAGAACAGAAGCAGAGTGAAGCTAGGAGGGTGGAGATGTCAGAGATGAGGGTGGGGGAGATTTTGGAGGGGCGGTAAATGAGAAGAATTTTGAGGGAAAGATTGGAGGGATGGTAGAGTGCAAGGTGCTCGAATGAGGGAAATGAGCCAGAAGAGTAAGGGGATAGGGCAAGTGAGGTCCTGGAGATGACGGCCACACTACCACGATGGTTGGGATGTGAGCTATGGTGGGAGGTGTGGCCGGGTGGTGTGGCCTCAGTGAGGGGGTAGATGTGGCCTGGGCTGATCCAGGTTTCAGTGAGGGCCATGATGTCAATATTTTCATCAACGTTGAGGCCATTGACGGTCAGAGCCTTGTTGCAGACATTTTGAAGGCCGGTGCGGAGGGGATAGTTGCCAGGAGTGTGATTGACTGATTGGTAGGGAGGATGGCAATAGGGATGAATGAGGGAGGGGAGGTTGACCCCCGGGGTCTGGGTCCGGTGGGGCTTGCGGTGATAGTGGGGAATGGGGCAGTTAGTGTGGCTGCTGCTGGACAGCCAACGCCAAGTACCACGGTGAGCCTGGCCAAAGATACCCAGGCTGGAGCAGAGGGAGGCTGAGGGACACTCAAGTTGGGACAGGAGGAGAGGAGGACGGAGCGAGAGAGATGCAGGGATGGGGGCATTATTGGGGAAGGACAGCTCGGCCAAGATGTGCACGCCGAGACTTAAGGCAGGCGGTTAGTGGGGCATGGTCCACCCACTTGCATGGAGACTGGGGGGGCTAGAGGTGGCGCAGAGGGGGGAGAAGGGGCAGGGCACTCATTGTGTTATACACCAGGTTACCCAACCTGGAAGATATCACTGAGCAGCCTGCAGGGAAAAGACAGAGGAAGGAAAGGAGATACAATAAACTAGACTATACCTGCTTCCAGGTGTTCAAACCTGGTGGCGGAAGTGATGTCACGCAGGGGTTTAGGCGGGAAATTCTGAAATGGCGGCTCCGTCTGAACCCAGTATTGGCCGCCACTCGGCCCCCGAGACCTTGGCCCTGCCTATCGCCGGCCTCACCAAGTGTGTCCGTTTGTAAAAAGGCAAAGATCATTCATTGCCTCCCAATGATTGGTAGCTGCTGAAAGACAGACAGGATTTAATGATACACATGAGGAAAAAAAGATTAAAGGGATAAGAGTCGGTAGCTCCAGTCAGGGAGCCAGCAGAGGCACAATAGGGAAGGTACGCGAATGGCATTAGAACTCATAGCTCCAGTGTGGTGGCTAACACAGGTACCGAGGGAAGCCCGGGGGAATGGGATTCCAGGAGAGAGCTCCAGTGTCAGAGCTAACATTAGAAAAGACATAATAGAATGAATGGCTTCCTTCTGTGGTGTAAACATAAGATTCCATGATTCTAGCTTGCCACATCTCTTAGCAATAGAAATATTTCTAATTGTGTCAAACGGGTCCCATGTAGATAATTTACAATAAGTTTTTAAACAAACCTCTTAGAAAATCTTCCTTTCATTTACTGAAACTATGGTTTGTTTGAACGATTGTTTTTTCTCTTTGTTGAAAATGGTCCTTGGTTTCTGTCCCTTTGATTGTCTGCAACTTCAACCAAATTCATTCTCTCTGCCCTCCTGTGTGATGTAAATCTTTAAGCTCACTTCAGAAAGATTGCAACACTTAAAAAGGTCAAAGTAAGTTTTCTTAGCCCACAAAGCAGTTCTTAAGTGCACCCTGGTAAGTGTGTCCTTCTCTGAGCTACTCACAAAGTGTTTTACAGTCGAACCAAGAATGCAATAAAAATTTCAGGCTTTAATCTCCTGCATTTCTATTGTGACAAAATACCTTTTTAATTGAGGTAAGGCTGTAAGACGTTTGAACATTAAGACATTTCCAGTGAAAATGGTTGGAAATGTATACACTAAAACCCCAACTAGCCAGGCCAATGGAGGGGGGTGGGGGGTGAAGATGGGGCCTCGATATATACTGTACTTGGGCTTGAACCCACAATCTTCTGACTCAGCGCTACCAACTGAGACAAACTGACACGCTAACACATCATGCTGGTGCTATTTTTTTGCAAACATTGTCAGTTTTTCGCTGCTGCATTTCTCTTACAACCTTCTTAAGCTGTACTTTGTTTAATGAATGACAAACCTCTCGTCATCTTGGAAGGAATTTAGGTATTTCTTGATCCTGCTCCTTGAGTAATAAAAGCAAAATACTAACAAGAGGAAGATGAAATGATCAGTAGAGTAATTCTTATGTAATAACTGTATATTAATTGTACTAATCAGTAATTCCTTCCTCTTCCACAGGTGGCTTATGTTCCACCAATGTCAATAACTGTTTATCAGAGCCGTGCCAGAACAGTGGGATTTGCTACAACGGTATAAAGAACTATACTTGCGTCTGTGCTCTGGAGCCTGTGGCTTATGCGGGTCAGAACTGTGAACTGCTGTTTGACGCCTGCTCCCTGCAGCCCTGCCTGAATGCCGGGGTCTGTAACACGACAGCAGGGACATTGGAGTATGGCTGTTCCTGCCCACCCGGCTTCTCAGGCACCAACTGCAGCTTGAATCTGAGCACATGCGCGAGCCGCCCTTGCCAAGGGATTCACGTGGACTGCAAAGACAAGGCAGATGGATACACTTGTGTCTGTGCCCTTGGGTACGGAGGGGAAAACTGCATGACAGAAATCAATGAATGCCTCAGTAACCCTTGTGGAGCAAACAGGACCTGCCTGGATGAGGTTGGGAATTACACCTGCATATGTGATCCCGGCAATACAGGGGTCAACTGCGAGACCGAGATCAACAATTGTGCTTCAAACCCTTGTCTGAATGGGGCTCTGTGCATCAACGGGAAAAACGATTACAAGTGCTTCTGTGTCCCTGGCTACCAAGGCCCCAACTGTGATATTGACATCAATGAGTGTGCGTCCAGACCTTGCAGGAATGGAGCCACGTGCCAGAACTCTGTGGATCGATACATCTGTGCCTGCCTGCCTGGCTACACAGGTAACTCACAGGGAATTCATGTGTAGAGAACCATTTGTCACAGGCAACAACTGCCAAGCTAATGTTACAGCCTGGCATCAAAAACAGGCAGTAACATCAATAAGCCTTGCATTCGATACAGCACCTTTTACATCAAGTGGACATCTCAAAGCACTTCACAGGAATTTATTTAAAGTGTAGCGACTGTGTATGTTGTAGACCAACGTAACAGCTAACTTGCACACGGCAATCACCCACAAACAGCCAAGGAATCAAATGAACAATTTTTACATGGGGATAGCTGACCAGGACTCAGGGATAAACTCCCATCTCTTTTTCGAATAGTGCCAAAAAATTTTGCTTTGAAAACCACTGCTACATAACTTGGGTGCTTCTCTCTCTCTCTTTCTCTCACGCACAAACACTCATTTCAAGGCCTTGCAATGTGTTGTGACCTGCTCCCCAGCCAGGAACATTCTTGCCGCTATCTGTTCATTCCATGAATCACTCTGATTGGCAACAGAAGGGTTTAAAGGGACCTGCGATGTCTCAAGCGAGAAACCCTAAGCTCACTTAAGCTCCCAAGTGCCGGCCGTACCCTGGTGCCGCACAGCTCCGCACAGCCCTGACGCTGTGAGTTATGCCTGACAGACGAGGCAGTGAGCAGATCAGAACGTTATCAGCATCTGTACAGAAATGCCAGGTGCTCTGTGCTAGCATTTCAGTATTGAAGTGTTTGCGTGGTGCAAATACTCGCAAAAGGAAGGTTTTGAGAAATTGCACAAATTCCAAAGGCATTACACCATCATTAGTCTCAATGAAGGAATGCGATATATAGATTAATGAAACCAGTTGCTTAAGTACATCAGTTTGTATTCATTATTAGATTTAAAAAAACAGCCACTGAGACCCTTGCCCCCACCTCACTACCCCCACTATTGAGAGTCCTGTAGCTCAGTGGTTAGAGCACTTGCCTCGCAAGTGAGGGGACCTGGGTTCGATTCCCGGACAGGACAAAATATTGGGCAAGTTTCCTTACTCCACGCACCTATTTTGATCTAGCAGTAAGTAGGAACCTGGTCGATTGGTGGATTGCTTTTCTAGGGGGATTAATCCCTTCCCCCACAAAAAAATAATAATTTGGTCACTTAATCCACGACTGATTGTGGGACACTGCTGTTGCGCAATTGGCAGCCGCGTTTCTCCCACAAAATGTACAATCAATTCAGTATTTACAGTACATTCTGAGAAGCACTTTGAGTCGTCTAGAAGACGTGATAAGCCACTATATCAAATGCAAGGATTATTATTATTATTATTGCACAGGTTATGACTAGCTAACCCAGAAACACACCTAGGACCTTAATCTCTACAGCTGAGTCCTGTGCAGCCTCACTGAAACACTCTGCCAGAGCTTTCCTACCAAATGCCCAAAATTCTTGCCGACCTCGACCCTTAGACCATTGTGTGGAGCGCTCCCTGACACCGTGAAGGCCACTATATAAATGCAAGTTGTTTTTTTTGTCTTAGAGTTTTAAGAACAACACAGAATTTTGGAAATTCCTCGAATTTTGTCTTGATTTGGAAGCTGTTTTTCTACAATTTTGAAAAATAAAATTGTAACGTTTCCAAGAGCTTAGATGATCAATTGGTTTGAGAGCCACTGAACTGCTGCCCATCTGCCAACAACAGCATGTTCAAGGATGTGAGGAAACCCTCTTTGGTAGAATCAAGAAGCTGCTGCTCATTTCTGAAGTGGGATGTAATTACATTATGCCATGGGCACTACAGGAACGGAGCACTAAACACATCCATTGTTAACCGTCCTTGAATGCCTTACGATAAGTGGAAAACCAAAAATCAATAGGTTTAGGATGAAGCGAGTATGGTATGTGCTAAGTAAGAGTGAGTGATTAACCAAGACTCACCCTCGCCCGGCTCCACTGGCTCCCCATCCCCCAGAAGATAGAGTTCAAAATCCTCGTCCTCGCCTTCAAGGCCCTCCACGGCTCTGCTCCCTACCTCTGTGACCTGCTGACCCCACATTAACTTGACCATTCCCTCCACTCAGCAGGCTGTGGCCTGCCCCACCTCCCCCGCCTGGCCCAGCCTGCCCCACCATCGGCGGTCAGGCCTTCAGCCTCTCTGCTCCCACCCTATGGAACTCCATCCCACGTTCCCTTCTACTCACTCCCTCCCTTGCCTCCTTCAAGGCGCGTCTCAAAACCCTCCACTTCGACCGAGCCTTCAGCCACCTTCCTACCCTCCCTGCCCTTCACCCTCTCTGATCTCCAGCTCAGGTCCAAATCCCTGACTATCCAGTGCCTTGGGACGTCCTCCCGATGTGAAAGGTGCTTTACAGATGTCATTTTGTATTGTATTGTACTTGTGGATGACACATGTTCAATCCTCACAGCTGTGTTTTCATCCTCTCTCTCAGGCTTGAACTGTGAGGTTGAGATTGACGAGTGTGAGTCCGCCCCATGTCAGCATGGAGCTACATGCGAGGACTATGTGGCGTTCTATAACTGCACCTGCACGGTGGGTTACCGGGGACTTAATTGTGAGGTTGACATTGATGAGTGTGCCAGCAGCCCGTGTGTGAACACAGGAGTGTGCGTGGACGGGATCAACAGGTAAGGAAAGCATCGCACACACTGTCCAACCTGATAGCCGGGCAGCAATGATTTTGTAGGAATATCACACTTCTACAGTTCTTGATAATCCTTGCATTCAATATAGCGCCTTTCTCATCAGGAAACATACTGGGAATTTGAACTCACGGTCCAAACTGAGACTCCAGTGCAGTGCTGCATTGTTGGTGATGTCGTCCTTCAGATAAGACATTAAACTGAGGCCACACCTGTGCCTGTTCAGGTGAATGCTCAAGATCCCCTGGCGCTACTTGAAAAGAGAAGGGAGTTTCTCTCTCCAGGTGTTCTGGCCAACAATCACCCAAATAAAATTAATCATTCACTTTATGGCTATCTGTACGATATTGCTGTGAGCCAATTGGCTGCTGTGTTTGCCTTCAATGCAGAGTCACTACACTTTATAGTAAAATTCCATGGGGTGCTTTGAGATGTTTTGACAATGTGATAAACCTTCCAGTGAACACAAGAATTATTATGTATTTCCAGGTTATTCTTTGCTTCCACCTGTAGGTGGTGACCCAGTTTGTAAGCTTCATGGTGTGTTGCTGTTTCTTCCAATACTCTGCACAGCAGAGTTATGTTAAACCCAGGCAAAACAGTGTTTACCTGCCACGATTAGTTTCATTCAATTTCAGCAATCAGTGGAAGAAAATGCAGCAGCTAAACTTACAATGTGTTAAGGACCATTAAGGATATAAAAGAACTGTGCAGACTTAGAGACAGTGCAGAGGAGAGCAACGACACAGGTATCTTGTTACAGGGATGAGCTGATCCCAAATATTTGCCAAAAATTGCAGGGTATTTAGCGACTTATGCGGGAAATTTCTGAAGCTTGATGGCTGCTATTGAGAGACGCCTTTTGTGAAACAATCCCGAGTAAAACTAGAGGTGTATATTTCAAGCATGTGTCATTATGTTTAAAATACTAAAAACAGAAATTTGAATAGTACAATAGAACCAAGAATAGGCTGTAGGAGCTCAGTTGAGACTGTGGGCTGGTCAACTTCCTATTCGCGATGCTTCCACTATCCCAACACTCCTCACCATCTCAACACTCCCCACCATCTCAACACTCCCCACCATCTCAACACTCCTCACCATCTCAACACTCCACACCATCTCAACACTCCACACCATCTCAACACTCCTCACCATCCCAACACTCCACACCATCCCAACACTCCCCACAATCCCAACACTCCTCACCATCCCAACACTCCCCACCATCCCAACACTCCCTGGTGGAAGCCGATTCGATAACAACTTTTAAGAGAGAAGTAGATAGGGTTATGGTTAGGGAGTGGGGGAGTGGTGTTGATCAGGGCTATGGGGAGAGAGCGGGGGAGTGGGGTTGATCAGGGCTATGGGGAGGGAGCGGGGGAGTGGGGTTGATCAGGAGGTCCAGGAAATAAATACACCAGGAAGTATTTCTTTAAACAAAAGATCAGGGCTAAACAAACAGCTAAAACGGGTTCCAGGAAGTGTGATCTAAACTCAGTCTAGAAACAGCTGGAAATCAAATGGCCATCGGACATTTTTTATCCATACCTCTGTCGATGAATGACTGAGTTTTGTCTTATTCTCTTTCACCCCAATTTACAATTTAACTGCAATTGAGATTGATTGCCTCCCGTGTCCTGTTCTCACTTCCCTAGTTACACATGTAACTGCAGCTATACTGGGTTTGAGGGTACCAACTGTGAGATAGATGTCCTCGAGTGCGCCTCCAATCCCTGTGCCAATAGCGCCACCTGCCTGGAGGAAGTGAGGAGCTACACCTGCCTCTGCTGGCCGGGTGAGTACATGCAATACAAAAGTCTCAGGGAGAGGACAAACCAAAGCTGCAGCATTGATCCCATCTCAATTTCCTTTTCGGTAACCTCCTCATCAGTCTAACATGATAAAAACTGTGCTTGGTGGAGTGACCATTAGCAAATAAACACCGATATTGTCATTATCCTTTGAATTTACCTTTCATGCACACACCCCTCCTGCACACACACCCCTCCTGCACACACACCCCTCCTGCACACAAATATACAGCTATCAAAGAGATCGTAAAATCTGTCACAGGAGACGTTTGTCTGACAATTGTTTTACACAAGGACATTCTGTGTTAAATACACATTTACAATTTATTATTTATTTCCAGATAATCATCCCTTTTCTATTCAAGTTATTAAATGATGTCCCGTCTGCCTTGTTTGTTGGCTTGACACTTTTATCACTTTATCATTTCTAATCACTTACATTTTATAAAGCTCTTTGGTCAAATAGGTCGCCCAGTAATATTAACTTCACCTCATTCAGTGCTGACACTGCTGTGTAGAAAAGGGACATTTCTAGATTGAGAGTAAAATTCACCCAAAGTTTATTAGTTGTTTTTCTATAGAGCTGAAGATCGGGGTTATTTCAGTGCATCACAGTGGAGACCAGATCAAGTCAGTCAGTGTTTACATCACAACTTCCATTCACATCATCCTGGTCACATCACCCTGGTCACATGTAGTGGATAGGATGTAGGATAACACACCAAACCTACCACACAAGAGGGAATAACACCTTTAAACCATCCACCAAACAAACATTCCTTCTGTGCTCTGGAATTATGCATGTACGCGAATTCGTACAGATATTCAGGAGCAATCAAGGTATAATGGATGAAGTGATACTGACAGGATCCAGACTTCAGAGGAAAGTACAAGTTACAGTGCAAAGGTTTGCTCTGCAAAATGTACATGCTGCTGTTTCCTACAACTCTCGTCAGGACTCGGGAGGTTTTGTTCAGAAAATATTCGTCTGAAGTTTGTCAGTTTTTTATCCATGCTTCAAAGCTGACCCACTGATGCACCAATCAATCAGGATCTTGGAACAAAGGGTGTGATGTACAATGGGCAATGGCCGTCTGTATCTGCCCTACACCCAACAGATATCCAATAGTCTGTTCTGCTGCTGGAGAGGGAGCTCCTGTCCACTGCAACCTGGACTAGAATTGTCAAAACACCGACATTGTCATTATCCTTTGAATTTACATTTCATGCTTCAAACACATCCTCCTACACACACTCCCCTCCTACACATCCCTCCTACACACACCTCTCCTACACACAAACCTTCCTACACACTCTCCCTCCTACCCACTCTCCTTCCTATACAGTCGCCCTCCTACACACACCCTCCTACACACACTCCGTCCTACACATCTCCCTCCTAAACACTTGTCCTCCTATACACTCTCCCTCCTGCCTGGATCCTCCTTGTGTTCAAATGATCAATTATCACATATATTCCCCCCCCCCAACTCACTGGACAACATCAAACGGGTTCTTCACCAGGAACTGAAACTGTGGAAATTACTGCCCAACTTGGTCTTCTCTTCCTCCCACAATCTAAAGATTCTTTAACCTCTAGCCACTGCTTTACAGTCTACCTTGTGTTCTCCCTTGTGTTTTCACCTACTCATGCCCTGCATCACAACCCTTAACACGTGCAATTTGGTACCAGTTGTTTCTCCAGCGTCTCAGCCAGGCCCAGATCCCCACTTGCCAACATTGTAATGCAAGAGTCTAACATGCATTGGGTTTTGCATTGATTTGAACAGGTTACACTGGACCACAATGTGAAGTTGACATTGATGAATGCCTTGAGGAACCTTGCAGGAATAACGGCACGTGCATGGAACGTTCCAATCAAGATCATTACAAGTTTGACACCAGTTTCAGCTATTCCAATGCATCCGGCTACATTTGCCTCTGCCAGTCTGGCTTTACAGGTCAGGTGAAAGCTCAACCCTGCAGCGGGTGTGGGGCTCTGCCTTACAGCAGCCATGGATGGGGTGGTGGGAGAATCAAACCTCTTTTAGAACTTTTTTTTAGAAAAGAGCGCAGAGTATAGCACAGTACAGCAGCCCATATAATGAGTTACACAGGCTGCGATACCCTCCCCCTGTTCACTAACCCCCACTCCCACACACACACACAAAATAATGTCTGCTCACTATACTTTTTTCCCCACCCCCGCAAGAAGCTTCCTTCTACGAAAATTCCTCCTTGAACATCAAGTTAATCTAGATCAGTTAACAGAAGAATGTTCTCTCGTTATTTGGGGAAGTTATCTTTGGGAATGGTGTCTGCTTAACCTCAAGGTGGTGTGTGATGGACTCTTTCCCTAGCTTTTGGGTTCACAGACATTCCCCTGCCGTGCTCACAACTCACAGCGAGATCACTAAGTCAGCACTAGATGGATCTGACCCTGGATTAACACCCCTGCCAAAACCAATCTCACCCTGGCCTTGGAGAAAGCATAGCTCTGGTACATTGTGCCAGCCTGGCCTCAATAGGCAGATTGGCTGAGCATTACTTATTTATAACAGCACCATATTCTCTATGCACTGAAATAGATTTTTAAAACTTTTCAAAGGCCTTAAATCCCACATCGTCCCAGCCTATCAAACCAATTTGCCTTAAAACGTAAGATTGGGGAAGACTTCTGTTGATTTTTTAAATCCAGTCTGAAATCGGAAGTTGGCTCCTTTTCCAGAACTGCAGGAAAAACCAGCTTCCAAATGAAAGTAGGATTTAAGACATTTCCTCAATTCTGCGCAATTTCAACTTTTAAGGGAAAATGGTCTGACAACAACTTGCTTGCATTTATATAGCACCCTTCGTGCCGGGTAGCGTCCAGGAGCCCTGACATCCCAATACTAGGTGGGGGTTCAGATCTCGGGAACTGAAATGCTGGTGTGAAATGAATAACCCTTTAGGACCTTGAATATTTTGATTTCCCCTGAGCCTCGTCGCTGCTGATTTTAGTTGTCACCTTTGTTTCACAGGAGAGAACTGCTCCATAGACATTGATGAGTGTGAATCTGGGCCTTGTGTCAATCAAGGCATATGTGATAATCAAGTGAATGGATTCCATTGTGGCTGCACTCCTGGATTTAAAGGTAATAATCACTGCCCTGATTTCCGACACACAGCATGGCTTCCTTTTGGATGTTGAGTACCAGAGTGGTACGAAGAATGCAGACTGCGAGGCCTGTGTGTAAGTCGGAGGCCGAAATAAGCATCTGGTACTAGAAAGCAGTGCATTCAGCAGTGTCTATCACACATTGCTTCAGTGTGCAGATGTCTGTGAATAGAAGTCTTTTCTGGGACAGCCTTAAATGATTTCACTGGCCACTGGCTACTAACTTTTAATTCAAACTTGCATTTTGAGTAGCCAATTGTGATTTCCACAGTATACTAACAAACAACAGAGCCACTACATATCATACTATAATCAAGTGTTTTGAGATGTCCTCCCAATGTGATAGGGGCTGTATCAAATGGAAGGAATATTTTTATTCGAAGACAGTAAAACAAGGATAGAAAAACAATAAGAGAGCACGGAATGTTTTTCACTTTGTCAAGACAGTTTTTATAGAAAGCGTTTAGTGTGAGTAAACAACAGCAGGCAGTGAAGTCACACTGGCCCTCGCTAGTGAATTCAGGGGCCGGTTGAGCATGTGTGGGAGTGGAGCTGACAGCAGCATAATAGAGGCTAATCTTTTCCGCTGTGTGAATTAATGTGGGCACAGGCATGCGGTGCAAATACATCTGATTGCAGCTTATTACTTCAAATTAGCATCACAGAGCAAATCCACAAAGGGGTGGGGGGGGGTGGGGGGGTTCGAAGACGGGAGGGGACGGGGGAAAGAAAGGGATTGGAAGAGGAAAGAAAGTTCAGAAACATTGCATTTCAGCAACACAATAAATGAAAGGCGTTCAGGGCTGAGAAGCCCAGTGAGTCGGAAGCTGATCAGACTTTGAAGCTTTGGGTGAATGTGCCATGCTGATGCTGACCAACATCAGACAGAACAAATTGTGATAATTTGACCCCTATTCCCCCCACCAGTTGAGCTCCCGGATCAGCACAAAATATCTGACTGCAATTAATATTGAACAGGTGTCAGCCTGGCTCAGTTGGCAGCACCCTGCATTCTGAGTCAGAAGGTTGTGGGTTCAAACCCCATAGCGGGACTTTGAGCTCACAAAGTCTAGGCTGATACTCCAGTCCAGTGCTGGGCTGTGCTGCAGTATTGGAGGTGCTGTTCTTGGGATCAGATGTTAAACTGAGGCCTGTGCATCTGTGTAGGTGAAGGTTTCAGATCGTGTAGCACTATTTGAAAGGAGGCAGGAGTTTCTTTTGATGTCCTGGCAAATAATCTCCCAAACAAAATTGGGCATTCACTTTATGGCTGTTTGTGGAACGTTGCTATGCACAGTTTGGCTGCCAGCTTTGTCTTCAGATGCACAGTCACTACACTTTACAGTGAAATCCTGTGAAGCGCTTTGGGACATCTCAATGACGTGATAAGGCACTGCATCAATGCAAGGATTATTATGATCATTGGTCTTTATTTGTTGCAAACAAAAAGCAAGGGGAGGTTAGTGTTTATGCTCAGTTAAAACCCAGAGTGCTGTTGGACTAATTCATCTGGCCATAATGGTTTGCATTTCATTCCCTTTCAGAGCAAACGCTTTGCCATTTCATGCAAAAATTGTAAACAATAATGAAGAGTCAGACATATAAGAGCGGGGACATGATAGAAACAACGTCTCGCAACCCAACTGCCTTCCCATCACACTACACATCAGCAAGGCACCACTTCAAGAGTACATTCCACTGTTTTGATTGAACCAGAACTATTTGAGGGGCCAGAAGGTGGTGGTGGTGGTGGGGGGGGGGGGCACCATAATGAGATGCTCTTAAACAACTGCAGGACTTTATTCTCTAATCACGCCACACCAACAAAGACCAGGCTCCATCACAGGGGAAGCACAAGACAGCTAACAAATGCTTTACTGTAGGGCTTCAGTGAGCCTCAGTTTTGCTATCTGCATGAGCATGAAGCCAGAACTACAGAGGCCATGTTTGCCTCATTGCACAGACTGTTTAAAGCAGCTTATATACAGACTGGTTAGTGAGAGGCCCCTTTGTTTTCACTGGTGCTGAGTAGAGGATTGAGGCAGTGTTAGGGCAGCCCTGGGAAGGTAGGAGGAAGGGAGGGCGTAGATTACAGCTTAATTGAAAATTGGTTTCAAAGTGATTTATCACTTGTTGATATTTTGAGCAAAGTTTTGTAGTGCAGAAAGGAATGAATTGCTATATCCAGAAAAAAATAATCCTCAAAGGAAACGATAAACTGTCCGTACAAGTGAGTTATACAAAGCCCTTGTAAATCCTGCTTAGAACAGTCCAATGCTGTGACTGGGTGGTTCAAGTATGAAGAGTACTTGAGGCCATTTTCCTTCTTGATAACTTGCGAGAAGTCTGCAAGTTGAGCCTGTTTGGTTTTCGACCCAACGAAAGCCGAGTGAATCCGAGTCTCTGTTCACTGTGGCCGAGCACACCCTGTAGATTAGAAATTGCAAACTGAACTCGTCAATGTGAAAGCTCTCTCACTGCAGTTGCAGCTTCTCCTTTTTGTCTGCAGTTGTGTTCCTCTCTCCCACCTCGATTTATTTCCTCTGCCTGACTCCAGCTCAGAGCAATGCTAAGTTACAATAACGGTAATTAACCTTTGTAGCAACGTACAAGATGCGAGAAGTGGAGAAATGACAAGCGGGTTTCTTGTCAGTGGCGACAGGTTCCAGCTGGGCAGCGTAGGGAGAGAGAGGAGGCGGATTACTAGTGAGCCTGACTTACATTAAAGAGCAGCCGTCCCTATATTGGTTGGTTTCATCACTAATCGCTTTTGCCTGACTGGGAACAAGATCACACACACGCGCACACACACACACACACACTCTCTCTCTCTCTGTTTTGTTAGTCTCACACTTGCATAAATGTCTACAGGAAAACGACAATGAAATTGCTCTTCTCCCAAGCGTTCTTTGGTGGATTTTATCTCATCGCAGGTAATGCCATTAAGTGGCTTTCTGCTAATAGTCTGTGTACGTGAAGTGGGAACAGTTGAATGTGGAGATGAGCTGTGGGCATTTTGCCCCTGTCAGACAATGCTATGTTTGGAGCATTTGAAGGTTTAAATCTGATTTGTACTTTTACACAGTACAGTCTTTAGTTGAAAATTGCATTTTGTGTCTATTGAATCAATGTTGAAATATACCGTAGGATATTGTTATGATTCCTCACAGATAAGACAGGTGATCTCTGGAGTACATTAAGTGTTTTTTGTATTTATTTTAAAACCCCCCGTTACATTTAGAAGCTGTATGTTTTGAGTAGCATAGCCCAGTGATTTGAAAATGCAGTTCATGGAAAAAAGCTTAAAGGGGTTTCACCAGTTACTACGGTTTTAAAGCAGAAGCTTTATTATGTAATTTTCTCCTGCTATGTGGGTGGAAATTTCAAGCAAATAATTTCAGTGTCTACCCTTTGTGATACGACATTGCCCTTTAGAATTTCCAAACGGTGCTGATTTTCAGCCTCTGCTAAATGTAAATAGTTTTCTGAGCCTCTCCTCACATTGGCAATTTGATCATTAGCCCAGATCCACGCAGTCAAGAGTAAGAGTGAGAGACGATGCTGATAGTTTGAGCAGCGTGTTTTGACTGGGCAGGCCTGGGCTCTGAGAGCAGATCTCTCTGGGGGTAGGGACTGGACTGGAAACTTTATCCTGTTTAACTGTCATAAAGAAGCCGACATGGGCTCTTGGAAGTTTATGCCCAGGTAATAACTAATAACAGTGGTCAATGAATCTCAACAACAACAACAACAACAACTTGGATTTATATAACGCCCTCCACGCCGGACGGCGGCATCTCAGAGCGCTTTACGGTAACGGATCCCGGGACCAAGCCAGGGTGAGGGGGAGGAAGGTGACCACACTACACAGTGCGTTTACCTACTGAGCCATGGGGGGGGAGAGGTGGGGAGAAAGAGGCTCCAACAACCCATTCATCTCCAGCTCACAGGTGAAGGTAAAGGATTCTTGTGACTGTTTTGTGTTGAAGCAGGGGCTCACACTACATTTACAGGAACAAAGCAGAGCTGACTAAATCACTCGGGAAAGATTTTTTTTAAAAAAACTTGCTGATCTCTACACAATAGAACTGGGCGCGTTCACTCATGTGCAATAAATCTCTGAATAAATGGGATTGTGTGTCCAGTAGTGCGTTCTCACTGTGAAGTGAACAAGCACCCCCCACCCCCCCCCACATCCCCCGAGCTCTCCGCTGGTTGTGTCAGGGTTACAGCCTCTGGTATTTTCTAGCGAATGAGACAATCAGGATGCTAAGTAGTGTTTTTTTAAAATACAAAGAACCAAATGTGCTGTAAAATAATGCCCATCGACTTTAACTCTGCCGGGAAGCAGAGCGACTTTAGAATTCCCGCTCCACTAATATTACCTCAAAAAAAGTTACAATGGTTATTATACACTTAGCGTAAACACACACCTCTTAGGTATTTTGCAAATATTGTTGTTTACAATTGCTATCAATGCTCCTTGCACCCTGAACCCTGAGCTCGGCCTACACTTACAACTGCATGTTGCTGAGGTTCTCTACTGTTGTGAACATCGCTCAGTTTTGGACATCGTCCATTCCCACCCAGTGTCTGGCCACCAAAGATTGGGGCGGGTGACACAGGGGCTCTGGCCCACCTTTATGGAATTGCTGAAGGCCCATTAATATGGGATAGCTGCGTCAGACCAAATGCACAGGTGAAAATATCTTGGGTGCATCCTAGCCTCCTGCTCCCAGCTATTAGTATTATCAAAATATTATTTTTGTTCCTTCTCCCTGACCTCAAATTTTGCGCACTGCAGAGCTCCACAAACAGCCATTAATCGAATGACCAATGGATGGCTCAGTGGTAGCATTCTCGATTCTCAGTCAGAAGGTTGTGGTTTCAAATGCTACTTCGGGACTTGAACTCACACTAGTCTAAGGTGACACTCCAATACAGTGCTGGGGAGGGTGTTGCATTGTTGTTGGAGGTGCCGTCCTTTGGATGAGGTATTAAAACTAAGGTCCCGTCTGCCTGTTTAGGTGGACAATAAAAATCCCATGGCACTATTCGAAGAGAAGGGAGTTTCTTCCGATGTCCTGGCCAGTAATTCACCCAAATAAAATTGGTCACTCATTTGCTATGCGCAATTGTGCTGCCGTGTTTGCCTACAAATGCCCAGCCACTTCATTCCACGTATATCCTGTGAAGCTCTTTGAGGCAGACGTCTTTCCAAAGTGATAAGTCAATAATAATAATGTAAGCATTATTTTTATTAGTATTATTATAATCTGGAAGTTTGCTAGCCAGGGCACCAGGAGAAACTGAGATGTCTTGACGATCAAATGCAAGGATTATTTACAATGCCAACAATTTGCATTATACAGCCCCCAGCAGGCGGGATAAAGTCCCTGAGTGCTTGTTAGTCGTGGAGTCTGACCCTTAGCCAGGAGGAGAGGGAGGGGGAGGTGACCGTAAGCACGATCAAAAAATAAGGTCATTAGGCGGGATTTGAAAGTAGGGAGGGAGGGAGCGAGGCGGAGGGATTGAGGGACGGAGTTCCAGAGTTTTGGGGTGTAGTGGCTGAAGGCATGGTGGAGCGGAGGGGACGAGGGCCATACAGGAGGCCAGAGCCAGCTGAGAGGAGGCTGCGGGTGGGGGAGTGGGGGGTGAGCAAATTGGATAGGTAAGAAGCTGCGAGGGCATGAAAGGATTTGAGAATGTAAATATTTATTATAGAAGCTCTCTTCTCTTTTCTAGTTCTTTATGAACACGCACACGACCTTTATTTACCGTCTAATCTACAGAATCACTAACAACACAGCATCCCCTCATTACTGCACTAAAGTGTCAGGCTGAACTGTGAGCTCAAAGCCCCCAACATGGGGCTTGAATGCACAACCTTCTGACCCCGGGGTGAAAAATTATCTACTGAGCAAAGTTGGCAATTCTTTTTAAGATGACATTTTTTTCAGGTGTGATCTGTGAAATCAACATCAATGAGTGTGAGGACGGGCCTTGTGAAAATGGGGGCACATGTGTAGACCAGATCGCAGAGTACACCTGCAACTGCCCCCCAATGGACAAGGATGGCATTACATGGGGAGGTAAGAACTGTTCAACTCAACTGACCGGTTGCCTTGGACACAGCTGTGAGAATGGAGCCACATGTTTCCCTTACTTGGCGAATGGAGTTCACAATTACACCTGCAAATGTCCACCTGGCTTTTATGGTACCTCTTGCTCCACATCAACTACGTTCTCCTTATCCAATGGATACATAATTGTAGAGAGGCCGGACAGGAACTACAGCGGGAGAGCTCCAGCGAAGCAGCTGATCAGCATCAGCTTCAGAACAACTTTGCCAAACGGAATATTAGTCTATCAAGGAGACAACGACAAACACTTGTACCTGGAGCTTTACAGCGGTCAGCTGATGTCTTCAGTTAGAGTCAACAGTGAAATGGTCCACATTGCTTTCAGTGAACAGGTCAATGACGGCCAGTGGCATAACGTGGTGATTCATCTGGGCCAGGAATTCCTGGTCACCTTGACGCATCCCAATTGCCCCAATAGCACTTGTTCAGACATCAGGACCACAAGAGGGACTGTCGATTCCTTGTTGAATTCACTCACAGTAATGTACGTCGGTGGCCACTCCGACGCATCTATGTCCAAGAAAACCAAAAGCAAGAGGAACTTCACCGGCTGTTTGAGAGACGTGAACATTGACTTCAGTATTGTACTGCCACAGGAGATTTCTGAATACGTAGCATGGAATTTCACACTGGGCTGTCAGAGAACAGTCTGGTGTCAGTCAGACACTTGTCACGGTCGCGGGAAGTGTGTGGATCTGTGGACAAGCTACTGGTGCAGTTGTATCCGGCCTTATACAGGTCCCACATGTCTTCAAGGTAAGTGTGTCGGAGTATTTCTTTTTGGTCAACCTGGTGTCTGACACATGTGGAAACCCATTACAACAACAACAACAAAATTACATTTATATAGCGCCTTTCACGTCGGGAGGACGTTCCAAGGCACTGGGACTTTGTTTAAGGGTATCCAAACCAAACAGAATATAACATATACATGAAAATGTCCCTGTGTCTGAAGTGGAATGTGCATTCTCTTCCAGAGGATTGCTTACTGCTCACCTAATTCTAGTGTATTAGGCACAGGTTCACAACATCCAAGGCTTGGGAACCCCAGAGTATGTGTTGCGGTAACAGTTGGAGTTCACTGAGCTAAAAATTGCCTACAAAATACACAGTCACTACGCTGTACAGTAAAATCCTCTGAAGCTCTTGATTTGTCAATGCGATATAGAAATCCTGCAAACTCCCCCCCACCCCCCCACCACACAAACACACACACAGCAATGCCGTATTTACAATGTGGTTTGCTTTCCTTCCTGCAGAACACATCTCTGGAACATTCAGCTACGGGAACACAAACAGCTCAGCCTTGTTCTTAGTCAGCGATAATCCAGGCTCAAGGTTTACTTTTTCCTTTTTCATCCGCACGCTGAAGGCAAACAGCCTCCTGTTTGAATTCATCAGGAATGACACGAGCCCCTACCTGGTGATGTACCTGCAGCAAGGCCACCTGAGCATCAAGGCAAGAGGCACAACATTACAGGCAGTCATGAACATTGCCGATGGGGTAAAGAGATTGATAGTCATTCACTTTGATGGAGGCTTGGTCTCCGTTACTCACTCGGGCAGCATTTTGCTCAATAACCTGCTGCCCATGGTACAGGTCAGACCTTTGGACTCTATCCACATTGGGGAGGACTCCTCGGAGCAGGGAGAACATTTCAAAGGTTGTTTGCAAGATGTGAGGCTCAACAACAACCAACTGGAATTTTACCCTTTGGAAGTTGAAAACTACACCTCGCCAGTCAGTGTGTACACAAGTGTAGCCCTGATACACCTGCTGCCAAATTGCATCAGCGACAATACCTGCCTGGTAAGCTGGGGCTGGGGCTGGAGCACTCAGCTGTCAGTGCTCTACAGTTATGTAACAACACTGCAGTTCCATGGGGTAAAGCTTTTCATGCTGATTAACACAAGGAACTGAAAGACGGGGCGGGGGGGGATCAGAACAGAAACAGAACTGGTATAAAGCAAACACTGATGTTATGCTGCATTTGGATGGATAACTGTCTCCCTGTTAGTTCCCTGTTTGGCTTCAGAACCTGTTAGTTTACCCACAGGAATGCTGAAACAAAGGCTAATTTTACATGAATAAAGCTCTTTTGATATCAGAAGAATGTAATATTTACTGTAATATTAATCTCAAATCACCTGAAGTACAAAATATTGTATGTTGTAAATACTTCTACCTTCCTGTCCACTAGTTCTCTGAATTTCTTACTTTATTTTGTACTCTGCTACCACTCCTCCCAACCCCATCCTCTGCTTAATCCAACTAGCTTTACTGATTCTTTTTAAAAAGAACGTTTAATTTTTATGTAATGAGATAAAAAGCAGCAGGCAGCAAGTCTGTCCAGTGGGAAAATCAGTATTTTCACCTTGAGGTATGAATGATAATAATAATTATTATTATTAAATAAAGATTCAACACACATTGATTCCACTGGGAACCAGTTCTGAAGCCAGAGCTAAGCTGGTTTTAAATCTGATTAAAAATAATGTAGTGGAGGCACTTATAGTTTCGATGGTGTCTATGTCAGCTGGTTCTTTCTGGAATGTTCCTATCTGACTGCCTGAGTTATTCCTGGTGGATGTGTTACCTGTGAGGAGATGTATTTGTTTATCTGCTATTGTGACAATCCCACACTTGCTGTTTGCTTGCAGTCTGCTCCTTGCCAAAATGGAGGCAATTGTTCAGTGACGTGGAACGACTATCAGTGCCTGTGCCCGAAGGAGTTCAGCGGCAAGGCCTGTGAGGACAAGGTGTGGTGTGAGACAGTGCTGTGCCCAGCGGGGAGTCAGTGCGGGGATATCCCGGGCGGATACGAATGTAAGATGTTTAACATTTATTCAGTGCACAGGAGCATGTTATAGACAGATCAGAGAGACATCGCAGTAAAGGCAGATCCTTAATAAATAATCCTTGCATTTAATTGCTCTTCATCAGAACAAAAAGCTTCAACACACTTCAGTGTTTTCCTGTTAATAATAATAATAATAATCCTTGCATTTGATATAGCACTTTTCACATCTTCTAGATGTCTCAAAGCGCTTCACAGAATAGACTGTAAATTTGTATATTTGTAGGTGAAACGCAGCAGCCAATTGGCAATTGCACACAGCAGCATCCCACAAACAGTCGTGGATTGAAGTGATCAAATTATTATTTTTTTCTTGAGGAATTATTATTAGGCGTGTAAAGCATAAAGACTATGGAGTTTGTAGGTGAATGCAGCACGGGATGTGTGCACAACAAAGTTCCCCAAACAACAACGTCCTGCATTTATACATAGCACCTCTCACACTGGGTAGCGACTCGAAGCAATTGATCAACCATGAAGTTTATGATTTATTTTATTTGGAGATAGCTGGCCAAGAGAACACTGGACTGCAATGTCAGCCTAGACTATGAGCTCACAGTCCCAATGTGGGCCTTGAACCCTCAACCTTCTCAGACTTTTTTATGGCTCATGTTCCTAAGTTCTTCCCTTTTGAATGAATTCCATTAACCAGCTTCATAACATCATTTGTAGTATTTACATGCTAGCAGTTATATGCACTGATCTGTTGATTTTTTTTTGCATGTGGCTTTACACAGGTCACGCAAATGCGACATTTCAAGGTGCAGATCCGGTTGTGTACATCGCCAACAATTCAATCACGCGAGACCTCACTTCCATTTCCCTGGAGCTGAGGACCAGAGAGAGGGCTGGGGTGCTTCTGCAGGCCAGCAATGGGGCTGACACCATGTGGCTCGTTTTTCGCAACTCTCGGCTGCTGTTCCAATTAAAGACAGGAAACAGCGTGGAAGAGGGACTCTCACTCTCCAGCCACGTCAACATCTCCGATGGGTTATGGCATTCAGTGTTGGTGTACATGGAGGAGCCTTCGGCCCAGTTATCACGATGGCTCATCACCGTTAACGGGCAGCTCGACACCAAGAGTGCCATGGCCGCTGGGAACCTGAATTTCCTTCGCAGTGATGTGAACATCACGTTGAGTAGCAACTTCACAGGTTGCCTTGGGATAGCTAAACTAGGCGGCATCCACCTCCCTTATCTCCAGCAGACCCCTCCCTCCCTCACTGAGCACTTTGTGTTGTACAGCGACCCCCCAGCTCAGATCGGTTGCTTTGGCACAGAAATGTGCTCTCCGGACCCATGTCAGAACAACGGCACCTGCCAAGATCTCTTTGAGAGTTTCCGCTGTGCCTGTAGCCCAGGCTGGGAAGGCCAAAGATGCCAAATCAACATCAATGAGTGTGCGTCAGGTCCGTGTCTTCACGGGAACTGCACTGATGTGGTGGACGGTTACCAGTGCACCTGTTACCAGGGCTACATGGGGACAAACTGTGAACAGGATATAGACAACTGTGTGGGCCATTTGTGTCAGAATGGTGGCAGCTGCATCGATGGCATAAACTCATTCTTCTGCACATGTCCTAGTAACTTCACTGGACAGTACTGCGAGTAAGTGCACGTCTCTGGTCTATTATAACTCCTCACCTTTACACAGAGCCTGATTAACAACAGTATTTTTTGCTCCTTTAGTAATAGTTTCAGGCAAGGGTAGGCATTGGTTCATCTTGCTACCCAACCAACTTCCCAAAATAATCAAAATAAAAGTTACTCAAATAGTGATTTGGCCTCACTAGTCCACGCCGGTGTTTATACTCCACATATATCAAAATAGATTGAGACTTAGTGTGAGCTCCCTGGAGAATGGGACCATATTGGGGTGAGGCAGCTAAAGGCAATCCTTGCCTATAGAGATGGGGAGCAAGAAGAGAACATTGAGGTGAAATAGAGAAAGGGATTGAAAATCTCCTTAAAGAGAAAACTAAAGTTGTTTATTTTGTGTTAATGTGCAAACACACACACACAAGAGAATATATTCATACTTTATCATGGAGAGCTCACGAATATCTCAGTGATTATATGCTATGCATGTACTGTATACTTGTAAGATGGGAAGGTTAGGGCTAATATCTGCTGATAGAGACGGAAGCTGAACAAATTAAGCATCTCTCCGCCTCTCCTGGTGGGAGACATATGAAATGCTGACAGTGGAAATAATGAGATTCATTTCGCCTTCAAAGTGACAGGCACTGCCTGTTCCTACTTCACAATATTTGTGCCCATTTATCTCTATATAAGATTGAGTGAAAAAGAATTTCGCTTTTTCTCAGGTGGTCGTACCCACCGGTGGATTGCGGAGAAAACTTCAGTTGCTATCATGGAGGCCGTTGCACTGATGGAATCTGGGGAGCTAACTGTACCTGCAGACCAGGCTTTACTGGAGAAAGGTAATAAAACTCATGTCCTATTAAGGGCTTCCCTTTGACAAATGGGATTTGGTTTCTGTCCCTACATTCTTGTTTTAGTGACATAGTCCAGATAGGATTTTAAATAAAGTTACTGCATTTCATTAACAACTTGCACTCATACAAGCTTTTCATGTAGGATGAATGTCTTGAAACGTTTCACAATATCTGGTTTGTTCTAGATTATTTGGGGGACAGAAATTTGATGGCACTGTCAGTCCAGATTTTAATTGCATTCCTGTCCGTGCTCTTTTAGATGCGAAAAAGACATCAACGAGTGTGTCCGAAACCCTTGCCAGAACGGAGGTACCTGCCAGAACCTGGTCAATCGGTTTGAGTGTATTTGTGGTGCAAACTTCGCTGGTGAACAATGCCAGCTGGATGTAAGCGATCTTTCTTTCTTTTGCTCAATGCTACTCTGGCAAAATCTCTTTCAGCTCTTGTCCTATCTAATCATTCACACGGACATCGAGGAGACTGAGGCAGAGTATGGCTAGCATTACATTTGCTCAAGTCCTTCTATGAACTGATCAGGGTTCTACACTGAAGAGAGTTCACTGAGACAATGAATATCTGGTGGCTTCCACAGCAGCTCACAGGCTCTGTGTGAAGTGGTTTAATGGACAGATTGTCCTTCTGTAGGGGAAATGGGCCATTTTGTAATGAAGTAACAATTCCTTCCATCCTTCCCTCCTTATCCATCCCTCCTTATGGTGGTGATCTCCGAGCTCAGGAGATGATCTTTGTTTTTGGCAAATGTGACAAAAAATTGAAATCCGAACATGGCACCAGGCTGGTGAAACATCATTTTCTCACTAACCTCTGCTCCTATCACTGTTCTCAGTCACCGTGTGAGGGAAAGCCATGGACTGCCGTATCCCATGTTAAATGGAATGCCCCTCCTTTCCTCCAAAGCGTAGTGGCACATGCCCACTCCAATCTAGAATGGGTGGTGGAAGGGGGGCATCTGAGGGAATAGTTGTAAATTGCCGCCTCAAAGTTTAAGTTGGTAAACTCCAACTAGCACGATATCACACGTGCACTTTACACCTTCTGTTAAGTTGTTGGCCAAATTAATAAGAGGGGGACAATTTCAGAGCAGCTAAAGCAATGAAAGGACTTGATGTTAAATCTACGCTGGCAAATGATTTTAGTTTTTGCTTGAGAAATTGACAGCACTGATAGGATTGCATGAGCTGATGACTTTCAATAAAAACAGATTATGGCAAAATGTGAAGCAAAAAGGCATTTACAATTCATACAGTGATAAACAATGAAAGGTGTTGATCCAAAAACATTGACTGGAGAAAATGGATAATTAGGATTGATTTTGACCAAATGTAATATTTCAGTCTGATTTTGACAAGCAAAGTCCTCCTCTGTCGTTTTTCCTTTCAGGTCATCAGAAACTAACTAAAACAGAGTAGCTACAGACATCTGTTTAACCCAATCACAGTAGATTAATACATAAAGTCATTTTCTGCACCATCTCCACTTTCCTTATGGGTTGTAAATGTATATAATGGAGAGTGTACCCACATTCATTGTAAATAATGCAAATGTTACAAAATGGGGAAGGGGAAAGCTTCGTTCTCCGGTTTAGTGCATGTCGGTTGCTGGTTTTATCACGTGGGAATGCTTGAATCTGCCATCGATCAAAGGGTTGTAAGCTTGTTGCAAAATGTACAATCTTATCTGCACCATCAGTTCCAGTTTGGAATGAAATCTTGCATGTGCCAAATCAAGGCAACTTTGGCTTAGTCTATGTAATGATGAGAAGGCCTTACTCAATACTGGGCATGAGTTTCTTTACACTAATATGCAATTTCCATTTTGCTTCATTTGCTTTCTCTCGGTTACTTTGTACCTGAAAGCTTTTAACAATGTGGAATGACAAAGCGTTCATCGATTAGGCTTGGGGAACGTTCAAAGCATGAAATAATTTGCCTTAAAAGCTTGTGCATCTCCTCTTCCTTCCCTCACCTCCTTTTCCTCCCACGGATGTAGCTGGTTTGTCGTTGCTTGAGGATGGGCCAATGAGTGAATCTTTCAACCTCCCTCCCTCTTGGGCTTCCAAACAATTAATCCTCTTCAAATCAGAATCGCTGCAAATCAAATCCATCGCATGTTAACAAAGAACCTTGTTTGCCCAACATGTTCTATTTGTATAGAATCACCAACAAATGTCATTCCTTCTTGCTTGCGGCCCAGAGAAGCTAATACCTGAGAGAGATTTCATTTGCTAGCAACACAACTCATGCGATTTCCTCTCTTCAAAGACCAATTCTTTCCTCTTCATCAGCCTCTAATTGTTCCAATACTTTACATAACAAAAATGCTTTCCAAAATTATTTTTGCCTACTAACATTTCCTGATTGTGAACAGCGTATTGCATTGGAATAAATTATTTGTACAGTTTTTACTGTCTTTGCTCCTTCATTTTCAATGTGCCTCTCTGTCTTTCTCTTCCTCCTTTCAGTGTCAACCCTTTTCAATGTCACTTGATGAATTTCGCCTGAATGTACAAGAGTTGGGTCTTGATCATATCAGTGGCACTTTACTTAATTATCCAAACCAGAGGCTGCCTGCTGTGTCATTTATTCTAGGAAAGCATTGGTGCAGGTTTTAGAAACAGATGTGAATGACACTTATTTTAGTAAGGATTACATTAATCTTCTACCAGCAATGGGATTGTGGCATTAATTGGTAATCTCAGGGACACATGGCTGTGTTATCATGCTGCTTCTGCATGTGCAATTAGCATTAAGATTAAGACGTAATGAAGAGGCTCATTATTCATGTGGTTTTAGTTATGTGAACAGCTTGTTCCCCATCAGAAACATTAGGAAAGTGGCAGAGTGCTCCAGCAATCACAGGAATGTTGTTTACACTCCAGGCATGAGTGGAATGGTACACAGAGACCAGGCTGCAGGTTCCGTGGAGGTTGTCTTACAGATGTTTTGAGCAAAAAAAACACATCAGCTCCCCATGCACTACATGACGTGGAGTTTTTGGAATCGCACATTGAAACATACTGAGTAACTTGGTAAGAGTTTACTGGCGCCCACACCAGGAACGCTCAGTGGCTCTGTGTGAAGTGGTTTAATGGACAGATTGTCCCTTGATTGGGGAAATGGCATACTGGGTAGTTTGGAGGGTGAACTTGCAGCTCAGGAAATCGAGGGATGTCAGGGCTGTGAAAGCTGTACCATGTTGTGCAGTGTCAGTGGGTGAAGGGTAACCACTGTATAAATCATTGGTCAGACCACACTTAGAGAATGTGTACAGTTCTGGTCATTGCAGTACAAAAAGGATATTGGAGAAATCAAGAGGATACAGAGGAGGGCAACCAGAATAATTGAGTGAATGGAGTAAATTGGGATTGTTCAAAAGGGGCATTTTCCAAAACAACAACTTGCAGTTATATAGCGCCCTCCATGCAGGGTAGTCTCAGAGTGCTTAATAGTGGCGGAGCCTGACTCCGAGCCGGGTGGGGGAGTGGGGGGGAGGTGAATGTAAGCACGGTTGAAAAGGACACTGGAAAAGAGAAGATTGAGAGGTGACACGATTGCTGTCTTTAAGATTCTAAAGGGGCAAAACAATCTAGATCATGACAGGCTGTTTCAACTTGTCCAGAATAGTCCTTCAAACACAGATTAGATAGTTTTCTTTTGGGAAATAACATTATGGGATATAGTACATTGGGAGTTTGGGATATATGTGCACACGACCACCAGGAAAGTGGACGGCCGACTAGATGGACCTTGGCCTTTTTCTCGTCTATAATAATAATAATAATCCTTGCATTTGATATAGCGCTTTTCACGTCGGGAGGACGTCCCAAAGCGCTTCACAGAACACACTGTAAAGTGAATTGACTGTATATTTGTGGGCGAACGCGGCAGCCAATTGCGCACAGCAATGTCCCACAAACAGTCATGGATTTAAAATGACCAATTTATTATTGTTTTGTTTTGGAGGATTATTATTAGGCTCTGTGTGGAGTAAGGAAACTTGCCCAAGGTTTCGCCCTCTGCCTGGAATTGAACTCAGGTCTCTCGCTTGCAAAGCGAGTGCTCTATCCACTGAGCTACAGGACTCCTCTAGCATTTCTTATGTTCTTATTATGGTAACAGGTTACAAGTCTTCAATATTGCTGTCAGTACCATCATTCAGAGAATGGCACAGGCACGATGAGCTAAATGCCATGTGTGTGTGTGTAAGCACAATCAGTCTGTGCAGTCCTAGAGAAACGCAGCTTCTGTCATCCTGTGGGAAAGTGGGTCTAAGCCCAGAGTTTGGGAAGCTTTGCAAACACTGGTGCAGAGCAGCCAATAGCTGAGATAAACAGGGATTCTGCCTTCATTATAACGTTGAACAATTTGGGTTTGCTTCAGATTTATTAACCACAATTGGTGCCAGTTAAACCCACATCAGAAAAGCATCAATCTGTCCTGCAGGAGATCAATTTACTGCATTGTTAACAGATTCTGCTTTAGGATATGTCCGTTGTTTCTCATCACCTGACAGAAGGGACAGATTCCACAATCCTCTTGGAACCTGTGACTTCAACTCTTTCAGCTGTGGTGAATCCACATGAGAACGGGAGACAGGGTGACATTGTATGCAGGGGCACTCTGGGATTGAAATGGATTTGGGACTAGGACTGTCTGTGTAGTCAGTTTTCAGAAGTGGCCGCATTGCTCAAGCCATTGGGGTAAGTGGGGTAGTAATGGGGGGGAAGGTTAATGGGGGGGCGAGGCACGGAGGTTGTCACCTTCAGTAAAGCCCCAAAACCAGGCTGGCTTGATAAGAACAGCGGCAAAAGTCCACAATGATTTTTTTGGCCAATATGCTCCTCCAATACCATTAAAATCTACCTTCTCAAACTTTGTGGTAAAGTAGGTTTGGGTGACCATGCTAACTTGCACAATTTGCTAGATACAGTGTATTCCATTTTTTCTCCTTTCCCTGTTGCTGCAGTCCTGGGGGAATCATTTGATAGACAAACATGCACCATGTAATAGTACCTCCATTGTCTGTGTGTGTGGAGGTGAGTGAGAGACGCCAATCACAAACAAAATTAGTCCATTATTTATCAGGGACTTTGCACTGCTGCAGTCCAGGCCGACAGTCCAACACAGCAGAAAGCTAAACACTGTCAGCAACTGTAAACCACAAGTGACTATTAGCACCACCCTCAGACTGCTTAGCTTTGCCATATTCTGATTTCAACCCAATTTGTTTTGTTTTGGGAAAAAAGTGTAATTTTTTTTCAAAACCACTATTTTTATTTCTCATTGTCACCCCAGCACTCCCCCTCCCCCCCAGTTATATCACTCCCTCCACAGCTCACCTCACACACACTGCAACACATGGTTAGATCAACTACAAAATTATTTTACATATACAAATTGACAAGAATATTTCAGTCTTCAGGATGACTGTTGCAGCCTGGTCACTTTTGGGGGTGAACAGCCCACTCCAAGATCCAGTCAAAATCACAGATTCTTTATTTTGTTACAGATAAATGTAACTGTGCCTCAGTTGGCTCAGCCTTGTGTAACAGCACTGACTGTGGAACACTGTGCTGTGTAAGTAGCACCCCAGGTAAAGTGGGGAGTGAGCAGGCTCTGGGAACACGAGGTTTAGGCTGGTCCGGAAATATGTCACAAGTGTCACTAGCAAGGGTCAGGATCAATCAATTTTATATTCAGACGATCAGTCACATTGATGTATCCCCTCTTGTACTAACAACAATCTGTGTTTGTCCTCTCTATCCCAACTGTACTCCAACCCCACTCCATGCTTTTTCAGCTGTGCTTCTAGTATCGACATCATCCATCTCTTGCATTTGAGCAGATTTCCCTGGTGAAGACTCTGATGAGGCGACAGGAAGATTGTTTAACAGAAGCTGCAGCAACTTATTGTTTCCCATTATCTCCACAGAGAGGGGCACAGGCTGAGCCCGTCCCACTGGCTGCGGTCATCGTGCCGGTGGTGTGCGGCAGCGCACTATTGGTTGTGATAACCCTTATTTTTGTGGTCCTAACCGCACGCAAAAAACGCCAGACAGAAGGGACGTACAATCCGAGTCAACAGGAAGTGGCAGGAGCCCGACTGGAGATGGACAGTGTCCTTAAAGTACCACCCGAGGAGCGCTTGATATGACGGGCTGGTTGCAATGGGGAAGTGATGCTCTGCTTTCCAGTCGAGCTCCTCCAACATTACACAGGTAGATTTCTTCAGTGCTGGGACCACGTGTGTGCTCATAACTACTGACTCTCCCAATGTCAGCAATGAGTGAGTTCTCTCATTCTAGGCAAGTGCCTCATCGGAAGGTCCATCCCAATCATGTTGGCTTCTCCTCATTGTATGTGCAGCCAATTAGATTTTCCAATTGGGGGAAAATTGAGAGAACAAATGTGCTGCTTTGTTGCATTGTCACAAGTGGGAAACCTACAGCCTACATACAGCCTGTGGCAAGACAGATTCAAGCATTCCCATTGGTACAAAACCTCTCTTGATCACAACGCATGGATCTCAGGACCAGCCTTCAGTGATGCCCCTACTCCTCAGCACAATGCATTTCCTGAAAAAGCTTTTGATCTGGTTAAGACTAATGTGAAGTTACAGTGGAAATTTCTTTTCACTTTGACTGAATTTTCCTAATCATTACTGAATGATTCATATTGTCTCCCCGTCTCCCCCACCAATGCAATAAATAACACCACACTGATCTGATCCTTGAATTAAAGAGAATCTGCTATCAACAGAGGTTGAGGTTCTTCAGTGGTCAATCTTTGTGTCTCTACTGTAAGGTTTATGATGGGAAAGGGTTAGTGCACTCCATCCACAAAGAGATCAATCCTATCAAAAGACTGACCATCTTCTTGAGGCAAGCGGATGGAGGTGATCTTTGCTGTTTCCCTCCCTATGTTCAGTGGTGAGCAAACCTGTGCACAGTGAAGACGTTGAGTAAACTGTCTGTAGGAAATTGCTTCTGTTTACACAGCTTTCTGGTGAATTTCTGACCTAGGATTAGACCAGTCGGGTTTCTCTCTCTGAAAAAGTGCACACTCCATACCAGACAAACACATTGTGGCCCTCTCAGCAGTTTGGTTTGGAGACTCAAGCATTGCGAGGGGTTTTGTGCAAGTGTCAGACACCCGGCTGACCAAACAAAAGTCGAGGAGGATTCGCTACTTCACATGACTGAACAAGTTCTACAAATAATGGCATGTTTTTCTTTCTATTTTCTGCAATGGTTAACGTTCTACAAACAGAAGGGACGCAAGGCCCAGAGCAGTGAGACATCAATTCTGACCAGCACCCTGGCCGGAGCAGGAGGGCTCATCGTTCTTATTGCCACCATCATAGCCCTCGGAATCACTATGAAAAACAGGAGAGCAACTCAGGGCACCTACAGCCCGAGCCGGCAAGAGAAAGATGGGACCCGGGTGGAGATGTGGAATATCATCAAGCCTCCACCCACAGAAAGGCTCATTTGACTTTCACTGAGAGCCTTGTGTGAAGGAGTGGAAAGAGACACGGGCTTGCCTGAACAAAGTCTCTCAGCCGCGCACAATCTAAGACGGTTGTGGAAATAAATGGATTCATCAAAGAGCAAACAAAGTCAATGGTCTGGGCTGTGTTGGTGGCTGCTCACAAACACAACACAAGCTAATGCTCTGTTAGCTGTCATTGGCAGGTCCAAAATTCAGTTGTTTCAGAGATGAACTCAACGGTTGCCTCTTGGGAGATTTGCTTTGCTGGGACAGAACCAGAATCCATTTACAATTAGCACCATAAACGTTAGCTGCTGAAATAACATTTTATTTTCCAGATAATTACTTTAATAGATTTTACAATACAATTCTTCTCTGTGGTCAACTGATTATTTTACAACAATCTCTGCAACATGACTCCAGAGTATTTTCCAAATGGTATAATGAATTTATGGTAGTATTAATAATAACAATGTGAATGTTACAGTAGACAGAAATAGTTTTGTAAATCAATGAACTCCCTATGAGGTCTGTATGCATCAGTCTCCTTCCTATTCTCTCAAATTTACCTTTGTGTCAGGTGAGCATACCGCTAGGAACTGAAAAATTTACAGAACTTTTTACCTCAATGAAGTACTGCATTTCTTTTGAATATTATTGAGCCGAATATTTAAACACATTCTGGTCAGCTTTTCATTCCGAAGATAAACACTACCACAGAAATGAATTCTAGCTCAGAACCAAGGGCTTTGAAATCACCCTCATTATGTGCTATAGAGAAAATCATAGAGAAAACAGGCAGGTCATTTTTATATGTTAAATAATTTTGAAATATTTAATACAAATCATCACAGCCAAGATTTTACACTGAAAAATGCAACATGTGCATGCCGTGACACTAAAATAAGTTCAGAATGTTTTAAAATCTTTGTGTCAGTGACTTAACGATTTGGAGTAACTATGAATTCTTTCTCCATCTAGGAGCTTGAAGGATTAACAATATTTCTAGGTAGGTTTTGTGCAGGAGAGAGTCATGGAGGAATTTAACCATCAGTGCCTTTCAGTGCTACAAACTATCACAGATGTTAGAACTAGTGGAGTTTTATACTAAATACACAATTAGCAGGTTTGGTAACAGAACAATATTTTATAAAAAATGTTTTGAGTAAGAGTGCGGAAATAGTAACTAAATAAGGAATTGTGATTCTTTCGACATTGTTTGTACAACGATGTGTATCTATTCCTGTGGTAGCTGAGATGGTGGTTACTGAGTGACCTGAGCACAGACTGAAATGCTTTCACTGCACCATCAAATTACTGGGCGTTTAATAAGTTGACTTTCTTCCTATTAAACCTGTGAAGAGTTAATTCATCAAGAAGAAATTTTGCCCAATTTTGGTACAACAGTTTCTGAACTTCACGATCTCTGGGAAGCAAACAAGCTTTTCCCCCCGCGATTGCCCTCCCTCAGACAGTCACGTGCAGAGGTTAGTCATTGTGTATTTGAGGCAATAAAGCAAGGAGATGGAGGAATGGGCAGAAAAGCTAGAAACGCTATTTGGAGGTATTACTTCTGTCTTTAAAGTGAAGACGAGTGCCACACAATATTGATGTTGGGTCGGCCAAAGACAGACTAGATTGTTAATCCCTCTTGAATAGTTGATCAGGTTCACTGATTGGCTCAAAAATCACCAGACGCTGAAGAATCTGACAGTTTCTCCGGGCCTCAGGGCACCTCAATCTCCTTTACTACCATTTCACCTCCCGTGGCCTCACAGCATCACCCGAGTGGGTGGGAGGACAGCCTGCAGACCTGACACTGAGTGGGGCTGTGGCTCAGGTAGCAAGTGACTGCGAGCCAGTGCAGGAGAGGAGGTACAATAAGACCCTTCACCCGAAAAAATTCTTATGTTCTTATTAGATTTCTGTTAGGAAATATCTGGATTAGGGTGTATAGTTTGGGACACGACATGTCTTGTGACTGGTGGAAGGCAAACTGGATGGACCTTGGTCTTCTTTCGTCGAGCAAATTCTTATATTCTTAAATGTCAGGTGAAATGTTAAATACAAACCATCAGGACTTTATACAAACACCGGCAACCACCACTCAGATTTGCTTAGATTGCACTAAAGAATTTACAATTATATCAACGGGTGAACATGTCAGACGTTTATAACTTTAATAATAGACAACGAAAGCACATTTAAGGCTTCAACTTTATATTTTGAGAGCATTTGATGTAATGTGTTTAATAATAAGGGAAATGCACTCACTGTTGGAAAACAGAAAAACCTTGTTAAACGTTATTAAAATGACCAGGAGATTTTAATCAAAACCCGCAATGACAAAACAGAACGAATGCTAAGGTGGAGAAAATAGAAATGAGAAAGAAAATCGGAATCTTGTCATGAATTCTCTTCCCCCGATGGAAACTATTGGAATGTAAAAATATTAAATTAACTTGCTCTTCCTGGTAAGATATTACCCTGTAATGTTTAGAACATGAATAGCTCAGTGTGGCCCTTTAGAATGTATTACAATGGAGAAACTAATTGTGTCTAATTAAATTTTAAAAAAATTTATGACTAAATGATTATCTTTCCATCATGTAAACTGCCTTGTTTACAAAGACAAATAATTTACAAAGAACATACAGGATGGAAATAGGCCACTCGGGCCCAACCAGTCTGTGACAGTGTTTAAACTCCACATGAGTCTTCACCCATTCCTTAGTCCCTCCTATACCCTTCTATTGTCCGGTCCATCATGAGAAAGTTTAGCTGCCTCTTGAATGTACCGATATTATTGGATTCAATCACGGCTTCAGACAACAAATCTCATTAACCTCTGTGTGAAGTAGTTCCTCCCAAAAAATTCTCTCTCAGATCTCCAGTCTCTATCTTATATTTGTGTCCCTGGTTACTCTGTATATTATGAGACAGAATTTGAATAACTTGTCCTATTTTCTCACTTGCAAGCAAACAGGTTTGTAAACACCTGATGATGGGCCCAATGTTCTGAGTCCAGCTTCTAATACAAGCAGTACATTCCAGCAAGAGAGACATGCGATCCTCATCTTTATATGCCATCAATACCAACTCCAAAGGCATATCTTAGTGCAGACAAAAACAAACTTGGAGGCATTTGGAAGAGGTACTTAAAGAGTTTGTAGAATGATACATCACAGAAAAAGACCTTTAAGTCCAACTAATCAGTGCTTATACTCCACACAAGTCCTTACTATTACCTTCTCCTTGATGTCTGCATCACATTTTCTCTTAAATACATTGGTGACATTTGCTTCAACCACAGGAAGAGTTTGCATTGGGTTTAGAATTCATGGCAGGGTGTGTGTTGGAGGCTACACTTTGATTCGGGAGTGTTTTGCAGCTCCCAAATTGGGAGCAACATCACTGTGAAAGATAAAGGAGACTTGAAGAGTCTCTGCCTATTGAATTTTATATATATATACACACACATACAGATTCAAAATCTCACAAAAATATTAGATTCTATTAAAACCGCGAGATATTTTGTACTTTCAAAAAATGTTTTGATGTAAATATTTTGTAGGCCTGTACATTTGAAGAGCTGTGACTGATAAAGTTGTGTAAAATAAAAGTGCGATTAAAAAGACAATGGGTGTGATTTTAAAGTAAAAATATTCTCCTTTGAAACAGAGTCTCAATCCAATGAAAAGATGCACAATCCTGCACACAGTGAGTTACTCACATTCAAGTTGTTATGAACAGGAGGTTGCAGCAGAAGGATTTGGAAACTTGGATTGTGCTGATGGTGCCTTGCACTGACCTGACCTGAGTCCAGATCCCAGAGTGCGAGATACACGACATAGAGGTGAAAAGTAGGAATGCAGATTCCAGAAAAATATCTCACTACTTCACCTCATGCAGGATCTTTCACATATGGCAACATCCTGAAGCACGCACGGTCAGAGTAGAAAGCTGAGCAAGAGAGAAGATAGGAGAGAGGGCAATGGAAGCGCAAAGTAAGTTTTGAGAAAGGTTGTGAAAGCAGAGAACGAGGGTGCAAGGTGGAGGCTGTTTGGTAGAAAGTTCCAGGGGTGGGGGTTGATACTGGCTGGAAGCTTGGCAGTTGGGGAATAACAGGTGGGGGAATGTGTAGCAGACGGATGGGAGAATGGGATTGGAGGAAATTGTAGAGAGGGAGATATTCACAGATACTACAAAACGGAATGCAAGGCACAACCTTGCTAAATACCACAGAATGTTCTGCTCTTCACCAAACTGTCACACCGCACCCACGGTTACACAAACGGCTCATCCAAATGGTTTGTGCTGCTGCTGCACATTCCTCGGTTTCTTCTGTTGGTAGAACCAGAAGATAGCCAACAACTTCAGTGATGGGGAGAAAACACTTCTTCCTCCATCCTCAAGAGGGTCAAAGTAAGAGGAGAACAATGCGCAGGCAACAGGTGTGTGCAGGGGAGGAGGGTCGGAAAGAGTGGGATGGGTGAGAAGAGTATCACACCCAGGGGAGGGCAGAACTGAGCCTTACAGTGAGAACACGGGGAATGGATTACCCAGGAGCACATATTGTGTCAGCAAATTCAAGAGGGAATTATAGTGGACAGCTATTTGGTGAAGAAACTGATTGAGGGTTTAGTTGAGTCAGTGGTTAAAAAAATTGTGTTCCTTGAAGGTTAATTTAAACAAGTCATTTCATAGAATTATACAGCACAGAAGGAGGCCACTCGGCCCATCGTGTCTGTGCGGCTCTTTGAAAAGAGCTTCCAAATCAACCCCACTCCCCCG